AAGAGCCTGGGAATGGCAGACCCTAATTTGTCTGTACCAATTTAGCTGACTCTGCATTAGAGAATTAAATTAGCTGAATGTACATGGAAGTATAGCATAACAGGGACAAGTCAACACAATGTTTGCAAAGGACATTCATGTCTTACAAATTAGTCAAAGCTCTTTGAAGGTGTTAAGAAGGTTAGTTATTATCTAACTGTTTGATTCCTTCATAATGGAGACTTAGAGTTTCATCATTACTCAATGACTTTGGTACATTTAATAGAATATTAGTTTTATGTGTTTTCAGTATGCTTATTCTCATCTTGTTATTATAATCTTCCCCCAGACCTTTTCATTCAAGTGGGATTGTCAAAATAAAGGGAAGGCATGTCCTTGAGTAATTTTGTCAGTCTTGAAAATCCCATCAATGCACACTTGTGTTCCTCATAATCCCTTCTTCAGGTACTTCAAAACTGATTTGAGCAAAAGACTACCTGTAATAGTAAATAGTTCAATACATTCAAGTATTTTGTACAATGCTGTGCTGAGTTCCCTGCCTGTCGTACTGGCTGGTATTATTTCATTGCATCCTTCTTTATCTGTAATCTCTTATACACAATTTATAAGTTCTTGGGACAGGACTATCTCTTTAATTCATGTTTATTGTGCTAATTGTATCTGGGTCCTGGTGCATGGCCGGGTTTTTGCGTACTTTTCTAATAAACACCTGTAAGTATATGGAAGTATAGGAACAATCTGCCATTTTTACACTGCTTTAATAGGAATCATGCGGGAGTAGGGAACAAAACTATTCACTCTCAAGAGTCGCGGGATGGGAAGACTTTCAGACAGGACCTCGTCACAAAGGTTAGCTTTGCGCTTAACCTTTAAATGAGCAAGGGCTAATCTTCCCTGGCCGCTTTTGCCATCAGCAGACACGGCTCCCATCACCATGGGTTCAGAGGAGCTCGGGGACCCTGCTGCTCCCCGCCCCGGCAACCCCCCGCTTCCCTGACGGAGCATCCCACCGCCACCATCACCTCCATCAGCACCACCCTCCTGCCAGAAGACGCCCGAGGGACGAGACCGCAAGGAGAAGAGTTAACAGGGAATTGATAACCCGGCCCTTTTTTTGTTTTACCCCGCCTCCTCCCGCTTGCGGGGAAGTGAGGGATCAGGACGCGCCGAGCGGGGGTGGCCCCGGCGGAGAGGTGCGGGGAGGG